CAAATGGAACATCGCTAGTGGGTTGACAGCCAACTCTGTCATCTTCTTTGGATGAGCCCATCCTCTAGTCTTTAACCCAAATGAGATAAATAACTGCTATGAGTCAATTTACTGGTGACTGACCAATGCTGTGGTTACATGATATTTGGACAAAATTGTTTATAGGCAACTAGAGAACTGTAGCAAAAAGATACAAGGTAGCAGAGGGAAACCTATCAGTTATAAAACAAAATTTAGAGAGAGAGCAATAATATCATAGAATGTTACAATGGACAGAAGTCCTGAACCAGGAGAGGGAAATGGAGTACCTCTGTACATCAACAAGGCTTTTTGCACTTTTCTTGCAATTTGTTAAAAGACTAACACTACTTGGGTGGATGTCATCAAAAGTCAATCATCTTAACTTCTTCACTAAAGTCCTCAAAAGAAAGGACATCATTATTCATAATGGAATTCTATGGGTGTTGCTGGTCCAATATTCCAAAGTGAGGAGACAAAATTTATAAAGATTAAGAGAAATCTCCCAAAGAGTACTTTAGGACAACCAAGACTCATCAAGCATTGGTCAAACTGGCATAATTATAAAACAGATAAATGGTTTACTGAAATAACATCACTTGGCATCATCATATTCAAGAAATAAATCTATTTCCCTGATTAATTTCATCATATGATAAGAGAGTAAGTTTTTAAAATATATATATTGTTACTTGGCTATGCCCTTTACCTTTAATATTCAGTATTCAGATATTTAATACATTGGTGCAAGGTACATGCACTGTTCAGCTCATTTTTGCCTCATGAATTATCTTTGCAGGGACAGCTCTACAAGCATATAAGTCATAAAAAAATCAATTATTAATTCCTAGCTAACATCACTTGATTACCCATTTTTCTTGTACTATTTGCTAATACTGTTATTCCTAATATTAAACTACAGTTCTCCATGTTCACTAAGTGAAAAGCTGACTTGAAAAAGCTTATACAGTGAACCCTCGTTTTTTGCGGGGGTTACGTTCCAAAAAGAACCCGTGATAGGCGAAATCCGTGAAGTAGTAAGCTTTATTTTTTTTTTACAATCATTATACAATGAAATACTCTACAAAACATTGAAACCAAAGAACAAAACCTTTTTACAGGCCCAAGCATTTGTTTAACAAATAAAAGTACTGTATAAACGTTTTTTTTTTTTTTAACAAAACTGCTGTACTGTAAAATAATAATTTTAATCATCAATACCAACTGAAGGCTTCATGGGTTTTAGAGAAAATTTGCAAACTTGAATTTGGCAAGCTGTTTTACGTACATGTACATATCAAACTGTAACGTTATTGACACACAGGCAGAGAAGAAGCGGAGAGAGAGACTGTTTAGCCAATCAGAATACAGAACACAATGCACAATGCAAATCCGTGAAGCAGCGAGAACGTGAAAGGTGAACCGCGAGGGTTCACTGTATACTAATTTATTTCGAGCAACACAGTGAGGTTGCAGTATAAGACAAAATCAGTGACTAGGGATCTGCATATCTTAATCAGCCCAAATACGACCCAACATCTACCTTGCATTGAAAAATTCTACAATTTTTACATCCAATCAACCCTACCTCTAAATTTTAAAAGCAATAACACAAAGCTAGATTCATTCCTACATCAAACAAACAGCCATCTTACTCTGGTTTTCAAGAAGAGTGTTCTGCTTCTTCAGATCATCAATGTCCTGCTGGTGAGCGGAATTCTTCTGCCTCATGAACTCAATGTAATCGGCAGCTTTTTTCAATATTTGTGCACGGCTGGCCTGCGAAGACTACTTTCATTAGTGAAAACCAACCATTCTTCTGACCAAAGTCTACTCCACTAAAATAATAACACACAATCACTCATACATTCACTTTCTTTAAGAGACCTACATGCTGTAAGAATGTTAATAATGTGTCACTCAGTCTAGATGAAGACCATGTTAATGAACATCACTTCAACCAGAAACTGGAGACAGTCAAATGCCATTTTGATAGAAAAAATGTTTTCTTCATACGGCAAGAAATATTTTTATTAACAATATAAAAAAATAAATAGACAACAAAAGCAGTAATAGCTAGTCAGATAGGACATTAGAAAAGACTAAAATAAATTCAACATCACTTTACTGACTCATGAAAGTTGAGTATTCCTAATACTGACCTAATAATGAATATCAGTTCAACCCTTAAAACTCTTCTATGCTCTTCTAAGGTCTCCCTCTTATGCCTCCCACATTAATGTCAAATGCTAATCCCAACTAAGGCCAAAACATGACATGACTACATCACATTTATTCATTCCTTTCATCCTCATTCCACCTATAATTGTCTTGCCCACCTTCTCTCCATGCAGAGAAGGCACAGAATCTCTCAAGGAACAAAAGGAATCCTTGATGTGATCGCGGCGTTTTCTCTCGAGGGCATTATGGTGCGCCCTCTTCTCCGCCTGCGATGCAAACTGGAACTCCCCGCGTGTGCCCC